AACTTGCCACCAAATATGACTGCTCAATTCTTTGTTGTTTTCGAGATATGACGTTTTTTGTGATTTTTTCAAAAGTTTTCAGGAAACTTAAATTATTATTGGTTTTTATAAATCTGAAGTTTTCAACCCTGTAGTTAGATCCTGTCAGAGTACTCTCATAGATTGCGAATCTTGCCACCAAATATGACTGCGCAATTCTTTGTAGTTTTCGAGATATGACGTTTTTTGTGATTTTTTCAAAAGTTTTCAGAAAATTTAAATTATTATTGGTTTTTAAAAATCTGAAATTCCCAACCCTGTAGTTAGGTCCTGTCAGAGTACTCTCAAAGATTGCGAATCTTGCCACCAAATATGACTGCTCAATTCTTTGTAGTTTTCGAGATATGACGTTTTTTGTGATTTTTTCAAAAAGTTTTCAGAAAACCTAAATTAATATTGGTTTTTAAAAATTGAAATTTCCAACCCTGTATTTAGGTCCGGCCAGAGTACTCTCAAAGATTGCGAATCTTGCCTCCAAGTATGACTGCTCACTTCTTTGTAGTTTTCGAGATATGATGTTTTTTGATTTTTTCAAAAATTTTCAGAAAACTTAAATTATTTTTAATCTCTAAAAAACTGAAAATCCCAACTGAGATGTGACGTTTTTTGATTTTTTCAAAGTTTCTCGAACTTATCAACAAAGAAATTCAAAAAATTTGAAACTACTAACTTGATAAAGATACACTCTTATTGTCAGCGTACACCCAGGCGTCTCAAATCTTGCCTCTTAAAATGAATTCTCAAATCCTTTTACTTTCCGAGATGAGACGTTTTTTCAATTTTGTTTTCGGGAAACTTAGATTTAAAAAAAATTCACAAAATTTCGGATTCCTAACCCTATAGTAGGGTGCTCTCAGGGACTCTCAGTGGTTGCAAATCTGGCCTCCAAGTTTCTCCAGAGGCCCATTAAGTTTTCGAGATGACGCTTTTAAAATAGGAATTTAAAAAATTTAAAAGTTTGAAATTACCAACACTGTTATTGGGTGCAGTCAGAGTACACTAAAAGTTTGCAGATGTTGTTTCCAATATATGCGTTTTTTCATGAGTTGTCGAAAAATTTCGAAGCACCGAAGGTGCGTTAAACGCTAGTCTTTTATATATTTAAATGCGGGCTTCACTATCTCGCCATGTTTAAGCTTTTTCAACGCATTATTTTTGCATGTTTAAGCTATATCGTATATTGCAATGGTTAAGAGCATTTTTTTTTGATTTTCCAATTTGAATTTAGTGGTTATTTACCGAGTTTGAATTAAGCAGCCCAATATCGAATTAGGAGCTGCCAATTTGGCCTCCAATTTTGAATGCCCTAATCATTCTAGTTAACGAGATAAGACGATTTTTGAGATTTTTTCAGAAATTTTAGAAATTTCAAAAAACAAATAATTTACAAAACCTGAAGTTCCCAACCCTGTAGTTGGGTACTGTCAGAGTACTATCAAGGATTGCGAGTCTTGCCTCCAAATATGACTGCTCAAATCCTTGTAGTTGTTGAGATATGACGTTTTTTGTGGTTTTTCAAAAATTTTCAGAAAACTTAAATTATTATTTTTTTAAAATCTGAAATTCCCAACGCTGTAGTTGGGTACTGTCAGGTTACTATCAAGGGATGCGAGTCTTGCCTCCAAATATGACTGCTCAAATCTTTGTAGTTTTCGAGATATGACGAATTTTGTGATTTTTTTCAAAAAATTTTCAGAAAACTTGTATAAATTTTTTTCGCAAATCTGAAATTCCCAACCCTGTATTTGGGTCCTGTCAGAGTGCTCTCAAAGATTGCGAGTCTTGCCTCCAATTCTCACTTCTCAAATCCTTGTAGTTTTCTAGATATGACGCTTTTGTGAATTTTTCAAAATTTTCAAAGTTTAAATTAAATATTTTTCAAAATTTGAAATTCCATCCGCTATAGTTTGGCGTTGTCAGGGTACTCTAAAGAGTTGCAAATCTTGCCACTTGCGACTGTTGAACGCGACTGCTTAAATGCTTTTAGTGTCCGAGATGTGACGTTTTTTGATTTTTTCAAAGTTTCTCGAACTTATCAACAAAGAAATCCAAAAAATTTGAAACTACTAACTTGATAAAGATACAATCTTATTGTCAGCGTAGACCCAGGCGTCTCAATTCTTGCCTCTTAAAAAGAATTCTCAAATCCTTTTACTTTCCGAGATGAGACGTTTTTTCAATTTTGTTTTCGGGAAACTTAGATTTAAAAAAAGTTCACAAAATTTCGGATTCCTAACCCTATAGTAGGGTGCTCTCAGGGACTCTCAGTGGTTGCAAATCTGGCCTCCAAGTTTCTCCAGAGGCCCATTAAGTTTTCGAGATGACGCTTTTAAAATAGGAATTAAAAAAATTTAAAAGTTTGAAATTACCAACCCTGTTATTGGGTGCAGTCAGAGTACACTAAAAGTTTGCAGATGTTGTTTCCAATATATGCGTTTTTTCATGAGTTGTCGAAAAATTTCGAAGCACCGAAGGTGCGTTAAACGCTAGTCTATTATATATTTAAATGCGGGCTTCACTATCTCGCCATGCTTAAGCTTTTTCAACGCATTATTTTTGCATGTTTAAGCTATATCGTATATTGCAATGGTTAAGAGCATTTTTTTTTGATTTTCCAATTTGAATTTAGTGGTTATTTACCGAGTTTGAATTAAGCAGCCCAATATCGAATTAGGAGCTGCCAATTTGGCCTCCAATTTTGAATGCCCGAATCATTCCAGTTAACGAGATAAGACGATTTTTGAGATTTTTTCAGAAATTTTAGAAATTTCAAAAAACAAATAATTTACAAAATCTGAAATTCCCAACCCTGTAGTTGGGTACTGTCAGGTTACTATCAAGGGATGCGAGTCTTGCCTCCAAATATGACTGCTCAAATCTTTGTAGTTTTTGAGATATGACGAATTTTGTGATTTTTTTCAAAAAATTTTCAGAAAACTTGTATAAATTTTTTTCGCAAATCTGAAATTCCCAACCCTTTATTTGGGTCCTGTCAGAGTGCTCTCAAAGATTGCGAGTCTTGCCTCCAATTCTCACTTCTCAAATCCTTGTAGTTTTCTAGATATGACGCTTTTGTGAATTTTTCAAAATTTTCAAAGTTTAAATTAAATATTTTTCAAAATTTGAAATTCCATCCGCTATAGTTCGGCGTTGTCAGGGTACTCTAAAGAGTTGCAAATCTTGCCACTTGCGACTGTTGAACGCGACTGCTTAAATGCTTTTAGTGTCCGAGATGTGACGTTTTTTGATTTTTTCAAAGTTTCTCAAAGAACTTATCAACAAAGAAATTCAAAAAATTTGAAACTACTAACTTGATAAAGATACAACCTTATTGTCAGCGTACACCCAGGCGTCTCAAATCTTGCCTCTTAAAATGAATTCTCAAATCCTTTTACTTTCCGAGATGAGACGTTTTTTAATTTTTTTTTTCGGGAAACTTAGGTTTAAAAAAAATTCACAAATACCCTGTAGGTAGGTATGTCAGAGTACTCGCAAGGATTGCGAATCTTGCGTCCAAATATGACTGCTCACTTCTTTGTAGTTATCGAGATGTGACGTTTTTTTGATTTTTTCAAAATTTCTCGAAGAAATTATGTACAAAGAAATTCAAAAAATTTGAAACTACCAACTCGATGAAGATACAATCTTATTGCTAGCGTACACCCTGGCGTCTCAAATCTTACCTCTTGATATGAATGCTCAAATTTTTTTAGTTTCCGAGATAAGACGTTTTTTTCAGTTTTTTTCCGGGAAACTTAGGTTTAAAAAAAATTCACAAAATTTTGAATTCCTAACCCTATAGTAGGGTGCTCTCAGGGACTCTCAGTGGTTGCAAATCTGGCCTCCAAATTTTTCCAGAGGCCCATTAAGTTTTCGAGATGACGCTTTCAAAATGGGAAATAAAAAAATTTAAAAAGTTCGAAATTACCAACCCTGTTATTGGGTGCAGTCAGAGTACACTAAAAGTTTGCAGATGTTGTTTCCAATATATGCGGTTTTTCATGAGTTGTCGAAAAATTTTGAAGCACCGGAGGTGCGATGAACGCTATTTAATCCAAAATTAGCACGCATCGCAACTTTTTTTTTGCTGATGTTGTTTGATCACACTGGAAGATTGAATCTACCATTGCGTCCGTAAAAAAGATGAGAAGGTTACTAAGACTTTGTTGAAATAGTTAAAGGATAATTCAAATAATCTTTTAGGGGTGCACCAAGAATTTTTTGAGAAGTTGATTTTTTAATTGTTAAATTAGGGCAATCGCCATGCTTACAACTCGGCCAATTTGTTTTTCCGGATCCGAGCACTGCTGGAAGATTCAAAAAACCATTCTACCTCTGGTGTGTGGTCAATTTTTGTCTGATGAACGACTTCACCTGGTTTTGAATTTTGGCTTCATTTCAATTAATCAGTGCTCAGCACTGTCCGCGTTGTTAATTTTGAGAGAAAACTGAGTCAGTGACTCTCAAGGTTGTTTTGCAGACTTTTTCTTAGATGGCTAGAATTCAATACGTTCTTTTCTACAGGCAAAAATCGTTAAGCTTCATTTTATTTATATTTAGACTTCCGCGAAACAATGACAAACCGCATAGTGTTTAAATTTTCAATTTTAAAATTTGAGACGTTCCTTCATAGTCGACAGCTCGCTGCGTATTTTGGATCAGTTTTTGAAAATAAATGTTTTATCCGGCTTCATTTTCAAAAATTTTGTCGACAAAGTTTTTTCGTTGAGCTGCGTCATGGTTTTTTTTAGCTTGAGCCTTTTTGTCTAAATCCACTATGAGCCCCGCCTGTTGTTTGAGTGTGAGACTCTTAATCATGTATATAAAAAACAAGAGCTCGCCATGTCATTTGGACCAACTTTTGAAAATAAATATTTTTATTGTTAACCTCATTATTTCGAGAAATATTTGAAACTAAAGTTCAGTTTTGTAATTTCGCTTTGAAATTCATTCATTTCTAGTAACCTTCAAAAATCAACTGGCATTGGTGAAGCAGGATTCTATCAAGATACTTCTCAAACCAGTCTACCAGCGTCCCTTCAGACCTCCAGATGAGTGCCTCACCTTCTTCGGGAGACTCTTGTTGTCCGAGGATCGAGCCACGATTCCATCCTGTCCTCTAGACAATGACGTCATTGAGATGATTGGGAACAGACCTGTGGTGTTCACGTTAGTTATACAACTGGAGAAAAAACTAGGCAAAATTGCACTTGAAAAAATTATCAAGTACTAATGCACGAAGCGAGTTTTATTGTTTTGGCTAGCTGAAAAAAAATTGTCAAAGAATATTTTTCCAAGTTGGATTTGTTTCCGAGTTTTAGTAAACCAATTTTGCCATTCGATTGCTTAACGAAATTTAAGCATTTGCTTTGAAAATTTTTCTCTCTAAACTTTGGCTCCAATTCGCCTGAAACTTAAGCGTAATTTTAGCACTGAACGAAAACTTTTACTATGTGCTAAGCTGTTTTCAACGAAAGATTTTAATTTTATGCAGGTATAAACTAGTGATGTAGCATCTCAAGTCTTCCAGTTCAGTTTTTTCAACGAAAGTTTTTTGTTTCAGTTATCCGGTTATCTGGATTGTATGTACTATTGGTTTCTATTTAGGTTTTAATTCAACTAGCATGATCTCTTTTTCCGATTAGATGCAAAATATCAATGCTGCTTGATAAATTTTGTGTCAAAGCTGTATAATTAAATCTTCACTGCTTTTTTGGCTAAGGAAAGTCACTCTTAATCGGCCATTGCATCCCGCATGCTCCAAAAGAATTTAATTGTTGAAGAATTGGTATTCTCTCCTGGCTTGTATTAATTTTTCTTCGACCTCTAAGGACTCTTTTTTTCGTTATTTGCTGCGTGAGTTTGAGAATCGCAGCTTCTTCTCTGTGTAGAACACGGTGAAATAAAAAATTCATCTATTGCTTCATTTTCTCAAACTTGGTTGTTCTAGAAAGATGCCGTTTCTTCTTTACTAAGCGATCATTGCTGTTTGATTGCTTAGTAATCTATCCTAAATTATAAGTCGCACCTAAGTTGGGTCCGCTTCTTTTGGGTCGTCTAGAGAAGTCTTGTCCAGTGGTCTTCGTGCTCTGATTTGTCTAGTTCGCGAATATCTCGAGTTACTATTTTATCGAAGTTAGAGAAAAAACTAATTTCTGTTTTTATCAAAAAAGTGCTTTTTATAATTTTGTAAAATTGAAAAGGAAAATTTATTTATTTGGAAACTGAAATTATTAGAATAGAGAACTTGCTGCTGAGTGAGCAAAATGAAACACTGAAGGTTTCAGGCCAGTCTTTTTGCTCGTAAGCATAAACCGGCGGCTGATTGATCTATTAAAGTACTCAGGTTTCACCTGCTCCTTTAATCTCCCTTCATCACAAGAGAATTTTCAACTAGATTTTATTTGATTTTTACAAATCAAATATCCCTAACTTTTTAGTCCCCTCTGATTAAAACCGCAGCCTTCAGCTCGATTTTATTAAAAATTCAGTATTTTCTCTGATGTATCATATTCCAGGTGCATCTCTGCTTAATCAAAGCAAGGAGAAATCCTGGGCAGCCGGCAAGACTATTAAATATTAATCCATTTTAATTTAAGTTATAGTTAAAAGGGACGTGTAAGTAATCGCCGCCCTGATGAAATACTGAGCATGAAAAAATGAGAAAAATACGACAAGTTTTTAAAAAGTAGTGGATTTTTCAAAACAAAATTTTATAGTCCTAATAAGAATAAAACAGTCAATGTCTGATTTAGTGAATAGAGGTATTGTTTTCAATGGCACGCTCCAATTTAGAATTGGGTTGTTAAATAAACATTTTAGACAAGGGTGCTTTGTGTGTATAGAACTTACAATAATACACTTCGAATTCAAAAAGAGTCATGTTAAGATACTTTGCTTCTCGATAGCTCTAAATTTGAAAATCAATGAGCTAATAATTAATTTAAAACATTTTGAGCTTAAAATTTTGAAAAAAAAAACGTCTTTCTTGATTTTTGTTACAACTTTCAACGACGATGCCGGATTAAAACTTGTTCTTCGGGTGTTTTTTTTTCTCCAGACAAATTTCGTCTTTTTAACTAGCAGTGTTTGATGGATTTTTTTTGTATCATTCGAAAGTTATTGTTGTCCTGAGCTCAAATTTAAAAATATCTATATTTCAGCTGTGATCATTTATGTACTTTATTTCAGCTGTGATCATTTATGTACTTTATTTCAGCTGTGATCATTTATGTGAAGTTATGAGTGTTCAAAAATATCACTTTGTACTTAGTATAGCTCGTGGGGGATGATTGTCTAAAAACCTCAAAAAATAATGAAGTTTTTTTTAGAATTTCGTTTATTTTTTATTTCGGTTAAAACCGAACACTATTCCATAGACCTTAAAATGCAGCCGGAACACTCAGGGCTTTGTTTAAGCGAGCAGCACGAAAAATGCGCTGCACGAAACTACTAGTTTTAAGTTCACGCGTAGTATAGCTGACAATTTTCGCAGTGAGTTGGTGCAAGCTGATCGATTCAACTTTGAAATAAGATACAAAAAATCATTAAATTTTTTTTGAATCAAACTTATCAAACCAAAACGGCAATAAAAATCAAAAAATTATTTCACTCGAGTAAAATTAAAATTAAGCACAAACTAGCTATTTTAAACGGCCTAGCTTAAGCATAAATAAACCGGTTTTTCTAACCGGTTTTTCTCGACACTGGGAAAAATTTTTCTAATTTATTTAATATCATTTGAATAACAAGTGAAAAATTTTTAATATGATATATCACTCAACTCTCTGCGATGATTATTTGTGGTAGCTGATTTTGTGCGAAAAAAATCTTAAACCGAATACGAAAGTCCCTCCCCCTTTTTCAAATGGCCGGAACAATTAGACCATACTGTTTCAGGGCGAAGCATTTCGGCGTAGTCAAGAAACTGCCGGTTGTTGGGAACCCCAAATTGGTTGCAGATTTCGCAGAGAGGAACAATCTGTTGTCTGAGTTGTCTGTCAGCTTCGACATCTATCTCCTTGGCTACCCTGGGAGAGGTCTCCTGCAGAGCATCTTCCACCAGATGACTATTGGAGGATTCATTCGATCTTCAGCGCCTCTTGTGTTTCTTGAGCCAAACGTGAGCATTTAATAAACAAGAAGAATTCGAGCTCTATATAGCTTTGAGATAAACGACTGAAATCAATTGAAACTACTCGTAAGAACCAAAAAGGGGGTCTTTTCAAAGGGTAAGGATGCAAATTACTGGCGTATGGGATCTGTTTTATAAGAAATATGTTAATAAAAATCAAAATTAATGATCATTCGAATGATATCTTTATATTTTGTACAGAGTTGCTATGGAAAATGAAAAGATGCAAATCAGATTTAAATAATTCGGTTTTTTCCATAGCTTGGATCATTTTTTTAATAAATTTTGAGATTCTTGCTGACTAGGCTCTCATTTATTTTCAATTGCTCTTTTCAGGGCGATGTGAGAGTTGAAATTTTACAAGCGAGGGGCCAAACCCAGTCCTTCATTGCCCACACTAACTTACGACTGAGCTCGTGGTATCACCTCACACTCACTATAGACGCGAGAGCAGTGGGGACACTCTATGTGTGCAAGTACGATCAACCAGAAAACTCACCGCTGAAAAAATGTCTCGAATACGTCTTCCAATTCAAACAAGCAATGCAATACAACCCATACGTGAACAGCTTTGTGGTCGGAGGAAGTATGAAACATCAATCAGTTTCGGGCTTTATTTGCAATTTCAACGTGCACCTAAACCGAATTGTCACAGTGCCGAAGCGAAGAACAAAGCAATCCGAAATTATGACTCAGCTGGTTGATTTAGAAATAGCAAAATTCGATACGCATTGTCTCACATTTCTCGACAAAGTTGAAGCTTTGATCAAATATTTCCAAATTAGGGCTGAAAATCGGAAGTCTAAAATGCAATGTGACGCATTGCCTTGGGCATCTAAAATTTCTGTCGACAAGAGAGTTAGTCCGATATCTGTTAAATGGTCTAGTAAACACAAATTTATCAGAAGTCTCTTGAAAAAGGACTTAATGAATGGCCTGAAGGTTTCTTTTGATAACCAAACGTACTTACAGCAACTAGGGCGATCATTGTACCTAAAAGCAAGAATGTCTCTCGGAATTGGCTTACATGAGTTCAAATACAAGCTCGTTCCTTATGTGCTTCAATCGTCGTGTCTTGGCAATAGTATTGCTTCATATATGGCTTCCGTTATGTACTATTCGGGCTTTGGCGTTCCTTTAGACGACGAAAAGGGCTCGTCGTACTTGCTTCGAAGTGCTCTGCTAGACGATCGTCTCGGCTTATTGTCACTGGGGTTCAAGTACTACTATGGACTGAATGGGTTCCCCGTGGACTATAGTATATCGTGGCGATATTACATGGATGCCGCTTGGATGTTCCGAGACGACCGTGAACAGCACAAGGAGAATGACGTCATGACTGAAGTTGTCCGGTTGACTGACAAGAAGGCCCTGGAAATGTACTTGGGAAAAGAGAGTGACTACTTCCAGGTTAACTTTTCCCAAAAAAAATCTCAAGCTCTTATTGTTTTTCACGCGATCGAACATTTAAAAGATTAAAATAGCATTGTGCTTTTAGAAGTAGTGTTAGACATTAGTTTAAAAAAAATGGAACATTCTCTGCGGTTTTACTTTTTTTTTCAATTGTTTCATTCAGAAAAAAAGATGGGGTTGTGACATCAAATAATGGTACTAAGTCATTACACGAATCGAGTTGATGATCAATTGTTTGAGTGCTCAATTTATGCAGGTTAAATTTTCCAATGTTTCTGACGAAAAATATAGCCTCCTCTTAAATTATCGCCGAATTCGTTTTTTTTTTTGGTTTTGTCATTTTTGCTCATGTATATGCTTAATGAATCATAACCTGTGTGTGACGGTTGTTGTAAATAGAACTGTGACTAATTATAGTGGCTGAAGATGCAAGCTGGCCAGGGCATAGAGAGTGCCAGGCAGGAGATGGGTCGGATGTTGTTCTGGGGGTCCAAGGGGGTGGACAGGGACACTGGGGCAGCTGTGAACTACTACAGACAACTAGCAGACACGGGCGACACCACCGGACAATTCGATCTAGGTAAGTATGCTTTTGGTTTCAAAATTGCCATTTTAAGTACTTTTAGCAAATTTTTTCAATTGTTTTGGCCAGTTTTTTAGATACTATGCTTAGATATTGAAAAGATCGGCAAATAATGCGGTGCTCAACCTGCGTTTGCCGATTGAAAAAACTTGATTGTTTGAGTAATGTAATGATTAAACTTTGTGCACCAGTATTATGAAGCTCTTAGTTGTTTGTTTTAATGAAATGTTCGACTCGGAGTCTTTTCCTGACGATTGTAAAATAGCGAAAGTGATTGCCCTGTTCAAAATTGGAAGTGAAATTGATTTCGATAATTACCGACTCATCAGCCTTCTATCAACTATAAGCAAAACTTTTGAAAAACTAATTTATAGAAGATTGGTCAAATTTTTACAGAAGTATAAAATTCTTTGCCCTGAACAGTTTGGCTTCAGACAAAAACATTCATGTGTACAGGCAATCTCACGTATAGTCGAATATATGCGCTCAGTTTTGGAACGAAGAGATAGTGGAATGGCACAATTTCTAGATTTTAAGAAAGCATTCGACACTGTCGATCACGATATCTTAATCATTAAATAAGAAAAATATGGGTTCCGTGGTAAATTTTTAAATTTGTTGAAAAATTGTTTAATTAACAGAGTACAATTTGTAAGTGATGGTATCATAAATTCTTCATTTGAAAAAATAACTTGTGGAGTTCCCCATGGTTCGGTTTTAGGTCCTTTATTGTTCTTGATTTATATCGATGATATTTCAAATGTAACAAAAACATCCGAGATATGCCTTTTTGCCGATGATACTGCTATTGTTGGTTCTGGTAAAACGAGAGCGTTTTTGAAAGAATTCAGAACAGATACTCAGAGCCTAAATGACTGGTGTAATGTCAACAAGTTATCGATTAATACAGGCAAGAGTAAACTGATGGGTTTTGGTAAAGCTATGCCTGATGCCTCAATTTCCATTGCTGGTGAAAACATGGAAAATAAAGACAGTTTCAAATACTTGGGTTTTGAAATTCACAAAAAATTGAATTTTGATATGCAGACTGTAAAAGTTTGCACGAAAATTTCCAAATTTAATGGTGTTTTATATCGAGGAAGATCTTGTTTCTCTTAATTAAGTTTTACATTGCATACGTGATTTCACTAATTTTTTATGCCTTATTAGCTTATGAATGTACATCCAAAATCAAACCTTGATAAAATTTTCTTGGCACAGAAAAAAATCATAAGAACCATTTTGTTCCTTCGAAAGTATGATCATGTGTCGGAGTATTTTTCAAAATTCCAGCTTCAGAGTTTACATGAAATTTTTATCAGCCAATTGTTTTCCGAGACAATATTTCAGTTCCTTGGAGAATCGCCTTTAAAATTTTTGAATCTTGATTATTTAAAAACGCGTCGTAGTACCCGGTCGAATAATTTAGGTTGTATACCCTTACCTTTAAGAAAATCAAAGTTAGCACAAAATTCGGTTTCGTACAAAATTGTGAAATGCTTTAATTTCCTAATGTCAAATAACCTATTGCCTCTTAACCTTAACGAGTTTACTGACAAACAGAAGAAAGACTTCCACGTGAAATTAAAAAAAGTGTACTTAAATGACAATCGATTACTTGCTGACATGTTTATAGGGTAAATTTCGTGTACCCTCATATTTTAACTCGGTTTTGCTTTCACTCTTTTATCTAGGTTTCCCTTAGGTTACTGCTAGTTGGGCTGTACTGCCCGTACAGTAACCTTAATGCAGTATTTAAGTACACATATGTGATCTTTATACTGTCTCTAAATTCAAATTCACTTAGTCAAATAAAATTTTATTTGCCAATGAATCTTACTTCGTACAATTTCGCCTAAATGATTTCACCCAAAGCCTTATTTAACTTGAAACTTTTCTCTAAACAATTTCACCCTAATGATTTTTAAGGTGAAATTGTTTAGAGACTTGAAACTTTTCTCTAAACAATTTCACCTTAATGATTTAATGATTTCCCAGGTTTGTAGGTGAAACGAGCGCGGTTCACCTACAAACCTGGGAACCGCGCTCGTTTCTTCTAAGAAAGTTTCACCTATACTATAAAAACAAGTAGCAACTCCACTGCAGGCGTGGACCTAGGACTTTCTAGAAGGGAGGAAGATCGGGTTTCCAATAAATTAAAAATTGTGTCGATCTTTTTTAGGTCTAACGAATTGATTTTTCGGGCCCTCCCAAAACACTATAAAGACCCTATATAGACAAAACTTTGTGCAAGTTTTTAGGAACTTCTTAGACGGTTTTGACTAAAATATTGAGTTTTTCTTCACCATTCTGAAAATAGGTAAATTGGAGCCAAATGTCCCTTTAAAAAATTTAAGTTCGCTCGGCCGAACATGAACTTCATAAAATAGGTCAAAAAAAAGAATCAAAGGTGACGTGACGTGGGTTCAAAATCGACAGGATGTAGTTTTGTTTGAAATTTGATTGGCTTTGTTTTGTTCTAGGAATAGTGTTGTTGCGCGGACAGGGTGGGGTGGATAAAGATGAGCAGAAAGGGCTGTCCTATCTGAAGAGGGCGGCCGACCAGGGTCACCAGGGAGCAGTGTCTGCACTTGGGTGGCACTACCTCCTCAAAAGAGAGTACGACTTCGCTTTCAAGTACTTGGACATGGCTGCCAGGCAAGGTACATACAATGTCATGCCAATAAAGAATTGGCCAAAATCAAAGTTCCCTTCAATGATAAAAAATTTTGCGGCAAATTGTTTTTTTAAGAACAAAAAGTTGAATTTAAAAAAAAAACGAATGAAAATCTTAAGCTATCAAAATTAGGTCTTTTGACTGGCCACAAAATTATGACCAACGGCAGTTATTTTCCTCTGAGTGAATGAAGCCTATAGAGTGGCTCACGTAATCTTCGGAAAGTGATTATCTCAAAAGTATAAATATATCCATTGAGCAATGAAGTGTTTTACTTACAAAATTTTCTTTTTTTCAGGCAATCGGGATGCTATGCATAATTTAGGCTACATGTACGAAAATGGACTTGTGAAAGGTGTTCCACGGAACAACTCCGCCTCTTATCTCTACTTCATTGATGCCGCCAACCGAGGTCAACCTGACTCCGCTCTCTCCGTCTCAGTGGGTCAAATTTACGGGGATGGAATCATGATTCAGAACCCCGTATCGGCTGCGGGGTGGGCCCGAAACCAGGCAGAGAAATCGTCGGCTGTCGGCAGGCTGCTGCAACAGGGGTTGAAGGCGTACCTTAAGGGGCGATGTGTTACACTTCAATTACCAGCTGCAAGATTAAAGCAATAAATGTCAAGTAAACTATTTATACAGGAGCGGATCTAAGGTTTTCTCCAGGGGGAGAGGCTAATTTTCAAAAAAAAGTTCGTTGGAAATTCTTAAGGCCGACTAAATTGATTTTTCGAGCTTTCCCAAAGTACTAGAAATACCCTATTCTGCAAAAAAATTTGGGCACTTTGAGCAAAAGCTTACATTGGGCTTTTTTGCAGGGTTCTGACCAAAAAATCGCATTTTTTGGCGCGCTTTCCTCTTCAAATTTATTATACATCGGCAACAAAAGCTCTTTTAGAATAAATTTAGTGTTGTTAGGTCAAAATTTAATGTTCTAATTTAGTATCAAAGGAGGGAGGTTCAAAACCGCTATTGATTTTTTGTGCAACTAATTAAAAAGATAATCCAGAGTTGCCCATTCATTCATTTTCAGAAAATTTATCATTACCTTGCGTTACTTATTCGGCTGCTATGGTATGTTAGCCTATCCAATCCAAATTTTTAATGAATATCTAAATAATGAAACTGCTTTTTAAAGATTTTCGGAGCTCTATTTTTTATTGCCGTTTAAACTTTCTTATTTTATAACAAAGATGCTTTTAACGTTAATGCAATAAATTAACCTATTTGAAAATGATAAGAACGAATAGACTAGCTCCATATCGCCCCTTGCTCTGTCCAGGACCACTATTCGGAAGCACTCATGTTCTATATGATGGCAGCAGAAACAGGGGTGGAGGTGGCTTCTTTCAACATGGCCCACCTGTGTGAGAACGAAGAGGACGCCTCCGAAATAGCCAACAGGCATCTGACCCATTAAACTTTAAGCTACCCAAGTTTTAGGGGCTAATTAATTACAACCTATATATGAGCCGTTAAACTATTTTTGAAGTCATCTCAAGTTTTTTTTTATTAAATAATTACTGGAGTTCGAGTTGTAGATTCCTTTTAAATTCAGGGAAAATTTATGCATTCAACCGATACAATAACGAGAACTTTAACCCAATGTGAAACTTTGATTTCATGTAGCCCTTAGCGCTTTTTTGAACATTGAATTCTTCATATCTTATATCTAAGCTAAACTTATTGGGCTAAGACTAAATAATATTGGGTTTTCGTGATTGCTAATATAAACTCATATCTTCATTTCATCTGGGGTCGTCTAAGTTGAATGGGTGTTATGTGGTTAGTTACATCGGGTCCCACTGTGCGTACAGTTACTACAACAAGAGTCTCAATAGCTTCCAGCCTCATTCTTACGCCATAAACAGAGTGGGCGACTTCTACTTCTTCGGCTGCAGCACAGAGGAACCAGCCGACATAGATAAGGTAACGAGCTTCAATTGTGATTCAAAGTAGTTTGTACAATTGCAAAATGTCGACAGATTGGTCCCTCGCAAAATCCATTAACGAGAGAAGGGTCTCTGTAAAACCTTTGGTGGCAGAGGAATCCCTGCAAAATCCAATGGTAAGAAAAGGGTCCCTGTAAAACCTATGATGACAAAGAGGTCCCTGTAAAATCTATGGTGTCATATATATATTTGACGTATATTCAGTGACTCGAAGCGAGAGATTGGTGGTGAAGTTGCCGAGGTCTCCGCTTCTTAGTTGAGGCCCACCGTGATCCGTACTCAATGCTTCAGAGTCAGGCATGTAGTTCCTATTTAAAGGGCTCAAAAGTGATTCTCCGTAATAAGCTGAATAATTCATCTAATCGTCATTTTCCTTTAAGATAGTTTTTCAATAAACTCGGAGCAAAGATTCGAGTCAATATCTTTTATATTATGAGCCCCTGCTTTTTGGTGCAGATTTACAATCTTTCATAATCGGGCACTTTTTTTACTTTCCCGTTATCAACTGTATTTAAGTTTTGAGGCGTTTACTTGGCGATGGGTGCGCTGACATGCTCAATTTCTCGAAAATTTGAGTTTTGCTACCTTTGCTGTCTTAGGAGTTCCAAAGCATTTGAAAAAACCCTATACATCTGAATAGCGTATATAGCATATTGTATAGTCTTACCTAATAGTAGATGATTAGGTTCACGAAACAGTGGTACTATTATCAAATCTTTTAGGCCCTTGAACACTACATTTGGGCGGCTGAGTTGGGAGACGCGCAGGCCTTCTACAATTTGGCGTACTTGGCCCAGCTGGGCTACAAGATATCAGACCGGCTGAGGCACACATATCTCCATATTCCCCCGGAGTCTCTCGAGGATCACCAACATCTGCAACTCTACCTCTACAGGGATGTTATAGTGCTATAATATGCACTAATGCCATTATATTATAATAATATATTATAATTTTATATTATAACAAGACTGCTCGAATCAGGGCGAAGCCCTGAATGTTCCGACTGCCTTTTAAGGTCTATGGAGCAGTAATAACATGGAAAATTTAAATGTAATAAAGTAAAATTAAAATTTTTTTTCTAAAAAGTTTGAGATTTTTTGTCAAAACATCCCCCCACATTCCATATTAAGTACAAACGGATAGATTTTGCTCCTAATAACAAATCAATTATGGCATATAAGCTTCCTTGAACCAATTTGGAACGATTTCTAAGACGGATGAAATCTCGCTTACGCGTTGCGTTAATAGCGCGAAATATATCGCGCGTTAATTGTCCCAAATTGGCCAAAATGGCAATCTTTAAACCCTCATAACTTTAAAAAAACGATCATAGGTGAAATATCTTTTCAAATTTAAGCTCAGAACAACAATAGCTTTCGAATGATGTAAAAAAATTCCGTCAAAAATGGCTAGTTAAAAAGTCGAAATTTGTCTGAAGAAAAAAAACCCACCCAGAGCACAAATATTCCGTTACGTTCGTATCGAAAGTCGAAACAATAAGGCCACTGATATCATAAGAAAAGCATGGTATGCTTTCCCACCAGGGTTTACTTTTTACTTTTAATTGTTCAAAAATGTGCTAAAAAGTGGGAATCAATATACTTGTTACAGAAAAAAAAACGAAATTGATAGTTATGTTAACGATATTTTGATAAAACATCCCTGTTTTTACTACGCTTATAGTAAATGTGAGGAACTAGAACTGGCTGCTGATCCCGAAAACAAACTATTCACTCCCTGTTCAGTGGCGAAGTACAACTGGATGATGAAACAGTCCTACAAGACTTACCAGACCGAGATCAAATCGGCATCTGTGATTGTGACTCTAACTCTGATGATGCTGTTTTGTTATTTTTCAGTTTCTAGAAGGGGAGGGTATCATTTAACATCACCGTATATTTTGAACAGTGTGTAGCAGAAATGGGATTGGAAAAATTACCCCAATATTTAAAACTTCGATTGAGTTTGCTCATATTGTGCTGGAAATAAATTATTTAGTTTTGCTCAAACTACTTTTGAGTTGAGTTATTTGCTCACCGCTTATGCCTTTTCGCTATAGCTGCTTTTTGCAATCAGGGTTGTTTTAAGGGGGCGTCGCTTTTTTTGACTTTTGAGTATCTAAATTGTCGTCATTTGGTACTCTTTTACATCCATGTTGAACGATTTTTTCTCAAAATTTTTCAAAACAAGTTTTCTATCACTTTAGGCATATGTGATTTCTTCTCAAAAACTTACCTGCTTCGTGAATGAATTTAGCAAAAAAAGTATTTTGTTAGAGCTTGTATATTCATTTCGGTCCGGCGATAAAATTTAGAGACAATCCTAGATCGGCCTATGCGCAGAAATATTTTCATTATAGTTCTTGAAAATATTTCACGTGACTCCGTAATTTGTCAAAACGATTGAAAGCGATTGGAGTTTTTTCGATACGTGGAAATCGACCTGAATACGAGCAATCACTGAGAGCTAAAAGCCTATACAATTTTGTAAATCTTGTATCTTTTAGTATTTTTAAGCATTTGAAACCCAAAAAAATGCTATCGAAATCAATGTTTTGACCATAACGAAAAATTTGTGTGACGTATAATCGTATAGTTTATCTTTCTTACAAAAACGTATGAGTTTGTAACTTTAATTCCATTATTCACACGCAGCAATCATAAAATTTTCTAAAGGTGCCAATATATACTAGTTTTGAAGGGGAGCGCGCGCCAAAAAAAACGCAATTTTTTACTCAAAATTTTTCAAAAAGTGCCCATAAACGGCAATTTTTACCTGCTTTTTCAAAATTTGACTGCGGCGCAAAACTTTTTGTCAAAATAGGGTTTTAATACTGTTCTGGGAGCGCTCCGAAAATCAATTTAGTCGACCTAAAAAAAATCAAAATCGAGTTATTGAAATTTTCTCCGATTTCTTGTTTATGCCAAAGCGCAATTTGACTCTGACTCCAAAATCTGGTGTTTTTGAAAACTGTGCAAGGGAGCATTTTTAATCTGAATGTTTCGTAACTGTTTTTCTACGGTAAAATTTCTCAGTGTTTTTTTTCGCTGGGTTTGGATCGTACTCAATGCTGCTGTCTATGCTAGCGGGCAGCTAGTGTTATAAAGCGAACCTTCTCTTTTTTCTAACCTAACTCGCAAATAGAAGAGCTCAATCAAAGTGTTCACTTGTGTGCCTTTTGGCTATAATCATGATCTGTAGCATTGAAATCTTCATAGCATCTGTTCTCTGTTTTATTTGTGGGTACTTTTTGTGATGCGCTAAGCGTCCGTGATCGAGTGGTTAGTGCGTGAGACTCATAGTTTCTCATCGTAGGAGAAGATCTGAGACGTCGTTGCTTTTTTACTTAATCGAGGTCTATTTTTGCTTTTTCTTTTTGCACTTTTCAGAACTCTAGAGCTGCTTTTTGTCGTGTTCTGGCTAGTGTTTGCGAAGCGAAGCATCGCCTTTGTGTTATATTTTGATCAGGCACTCCGATGTTACAACAAAAACTATTTTGGTCACTATATTTTGCTTCCTCTGAAAACTTCACCAGTGTCTAGCATACTCTGCATGAAACATCATGATATGCAGACTGATGTTGCACGAAAATTGAAATCAACGTCTAAGGCGTTTGAGCAACAGTTACTTCAGTTTCTACATAAATTGGGGCCTTTTTGAGCTGCTGAACCAGAAAAAAAAACTTTGAAACCCTGAGTTTTTTCTCTGCTTACAGAAAATAGTAACTTCCTACACCTAATTTAGGTCATGCAAAAACTAGTTGTTTTATTGATTTTTATCATCAATAAAAAGCATGTTCAGATATAGTTTAGATCTGATTTAGATCATATCATGAATCCAACGGATGAGTTATTTTTTCAGAACAAAATTATGTAAACTGAAAAAAGTGTATTTTGTTGTGTTTTATATCTATTGCTTTCGCGTTTGTTGTAACAATAATATACTTATTGTTTTCGCAATTGTTGACAAAATTTGTTTGTTTTTGTGAGTTCATATCATATTAAACTGGAAAACTTGTTAGCGTAGTGCATTAGTACCAAACTTTTTTTTCTCCAATCGAGCTCGCAAAAATAATCGTTCATTTGGTGTCACTTCAATCACAATCTGTAGCATTCGAAATTTAATAGCATGCGTTCTGTGCTTTGTTTGTAGCTAGTGTTCGAGCATTGTTAAGCGTCCGTGGCTGAGTGGTCAATGCGTGAGGTTCTATGTCTCCTAGTTTGCAGGAGAAAATTCGACACGTAGGCGAATTTTCACTAAGTTAAGGTTCATTTCTCTTTTTTCCTATTTCACTTGACAGAGCGGCTTTTGTCGTGTTTTAGCTAGTGTTTGCGAAGCCCGGCTTCGCTCTGTGAAATCGATGAAATGAGACTAACGAATGATGCTGCCGTAAAATGCACTGAAACTTCGGCTTGCACAAAATGCGGTTTTCGAATATTTGCTTTTACATATCCTTCTTTTAAGCTACCCTTT